AGGTAAATACATATGATAGCTTGACAGAATAAGTGATTATGTACAACCAATTAATTTATTTCCTGCATTTTGTTATACCAATGTTACTTTGTTTCTATAAAATATGTTCATGATATAATTCACAATTTACCATTCGCATGTTTTTAAAAAAAATACATTTCAGGTATAGGACATATAATTACTCAAACCAGTCAACAAAACAATCAGAGATTTCAGTAAGTTACTTGAAGAAAAGCCTATTCCAAGCTCAATTACTGGACTGATTCAGCTAAATTCAAGATAATTTAAAAAGTTAATGCTAGTTTTGATAATTTTCTTTGCATAACTAAAAGTGTTAGGATATATTCAGATGCAAAACAGAATTCTTTGAAAAGCAAATGAGCAGCCACTGGCTTGTGGTTTGTGGTTTCAAACTTGAGAAGAAACAGTGCTCAGGCAGCTATGCAACAGTTGTATAAAACATGCTATCTCATAAGTATCTCTTGTGATATACTGCCATGCAATTTAAATACTTGATATGAAAGATAAAAACCAACAGCAATGAACATATTACATGAATAATTATGGCAAATCAGTAGTACTTGTACCCTTATCTGAGATCAAAATGTTAACAGCTGCATTCAGACGTATTCCAGGTATATGATGTTAGCCTGAAAAGAACCAGACTGGACCTGACAATCCAGTGATTGATTTTTTTAACAACCACCCACACAATCCAGTCTTAAGACAAACAATCAATAATCATAGTAACTTAACCTGGCCATCTGGTCGATCTGATCACCTCTTACCATCACAGATTGCTGGACCTTGTGTAACTAGGATCTGCACCTGGGATGTTCCAGTTACCTCTCTTTACCCAGCAGTCAGGATTTATTTCCAAAACTGACACAAAACCAAGTAATTATGGTCATATTAATGTCACAAGATAATTCTATTGGTAGACAAGAGATCGTGGTAGTAGAATAGTGCCAGTATTTGACATTGAGAAAGTCTTGGTGAGTTTCTCCATTGTATTTTAACCTAGGAAACCACTTGGTTTTTTATTTTTAACATTAGAGTAGGATCCCCTAATCAATGGTAACATAGCACAGTGAATGGTATAAATTACAGGATGCTTTAGAATTTGGTCTACAGTATTTCCACTGGAGGATCCCATCTCTGTCTTCATGACCACGTTACCACGTCTCAAACAGGCTGCCAAATTCAGGGGTGACATGCTATGTGCTCTCATGCAATACTGTTGGAGCGGTATGGTTGGAATGTGACGTACAAGTGAGGGCTTGATACATTCCATAAACACAATGTTTGCCATGGCATGATAAATATTGAATTCACACAGATGAAATATTGTTGCAGAGTGCTGGCAGCAAGCCTAAAGTTATACAAATAATACTCACCATAATTCATTTAATGAAACATGTGATAACTTTTTGCCAACTCAGATGATTCAAACTATTTAACCATGTCACTCTTGATCTCACAGCCTGTAAAGGGGTGATTCATGATGACTGGAAATAAAGTCACTGACCACCAAATCCAAAAAGCAACCTCTTACAAGAAGCATAGGTTTCTGGGTTGTAATTCTACACAGAATACCCACAGGGTTCTCAGAAATAAAGGGTGCCCCTGTATCCATGAGGTTTGCAGCAAAAGGATTTCATTACAAGGCCCCTTTGACTTTATGCTTAATGTAGAAAACTGAAGTGTGAGTTAACAGATTCATTAATTTACATAGAGACAGTGTTCAAAATGAATAATATGCTTGTCTCATGAATAAAAGACAAGTGACATTTTCTCACAGAAACGTTCTACTTCGCCATAAGAAAATGGCATATTCATTAGCATATGATTATTGCTAACTAGTTAAAACAAATGAAATGAAGGACAATCCTTGAAAATACAAGAGTAACATTCAAACTTGTCTTGTACCCCTCATCATTTTAGAAAGTAACAATGAAAGTCAAAGGGTCCTATGTAAGAAATTCACATGAGTAAGAAGGTCAATAAAGCTATCACGAGCAACACAAAGATGCCAAGACCTCCTCACAATTCTAACAATTCCTTCCATCAAAGGAAGGAGCCAGAATATAAACACACTTTCATTCCCCAAAATATTATAATGATAGACCCATAGTAGTAACTAAAACAGCAATCAATGCATACGCCAGTATCATGCAGATGTGGGTCCACTTGCACAATGCATTCTCAGCATTCCAACTATCAAAGAGTGTCACTGTAAACACTGAGATCATGTTTGTGTATCAATGGCATGTATTGTTAGTCATACATGCTTACATACCCCTAGTATACAAATAAGAAGCAATTTCCTAAATGAAAACATGCACTGTTCATTTGGGTATGATAAGGAATGTAACACTGAAAACTGTTTATTTGTTTCAGGTCTCGATTTAGCGCTTTGTTACTTGCAGGTGCAAGTCAATTTTTTTAGAAATATATCAACAATAAATCTAACACTATAAGCATTATTATGTCAGCTCATTTTTCTTCTAATCTTTGAATAATTCAATAGCATACAGGGATTGGGAAAAGGCAGGGGCCATGGGCCATTTTGCACATTAGAATATAAAAGGCCCATTAAAATTTGGAAGTTTACTATTGATAGAAGGGCAGTGGCCCATTCTAAATTCAGAAAATGGCTAATAATCCTGAAAATGGCCCATTGTCAAAGTTCTCTATCCCAATCCCTGAGTATATTTCTTTCATTACATATTGCAATAAGAGAAGTGCAGCTGGAATTTGGCTGGTGCTACTAGGTTTTTATCTCACGTTGCACCTGGTGCAAGTAGGTTAACATCTCCAAAATCGAGCCCTGTGTTTGTTTGTTTATAACGCCGCACTCAGCAATATTCCAGCAATATGGCGGCAGTCTGTAAATAAATCAAGTCTGGACCAACCAATCCGGTGATCAACAGAATGAGCATCGATCTATATAACTGGGATATAATGACATGTGGCAACCTAGTCAGTGAACCTGACCATCTGGTCCCATCAGTCGTCTCATACAATAAGCATGGGTTGCTGAAGACCAAATCTAACTTGGATCTGCACAGGTCATTGAAAACTGAAGAAGCAGAGTCCATGACAATCTATTCTTTTAAGTTATTATATGGATCTCTTCAGGCCGTCATTGTTTAAATACAATTTGGACAAAAGGATTGTCCACACAATTGTATGGTTCGTTCATTGTACTGATTTATTAACTACTGTTAACCAGACAGGTTATTAGGTTTCAGTTTGTGTACATACGAACAGTTCGCGTAAACACACCTGACAACAACTTCCTTCGCGGAAAGCTCGAGCATACAAAAAGCATGCGTTTTCACCACGTGTGGGGTTCGAAGTGAAATTGTAGTTAGTTCATTTCGATACGTTGATAAGGCCGCACACCTTGAGATAGTTAGTTAGTGGTAACCATTTGGGTGTTTGACCTCTGTTTGACAGAGGTTTAGTGTAATAGAAAGTTAGGAATGTAAGATATTGTAAAGGTAATAAAAGGTAAATTAAAACAAATATTAGATTCTGATTTAGTGATTTCGTTTGATATCACAACTAGTACAGTTCCTGCTGACCACAATTCATCCACTATGGCAAAAACAACTGTCCCTCACCCAAAAATAGAACTTTTACAAATTTTGATGCAATGATTGGAAGAATAGTTTTGAATGCTACTATTTTACACTGCCTGACATCTTTTACATATGGAACAGTTTGACAAGTGACTTTCATGTCCTCCTGAGGTCTTGCAATTTCATTTGCAAAAACAATATGAGGTAATCAAACAAAGGTTACCCAGGGGTTCAAAATTATTTTAAAAAGCCACTTGCCACAGGGCAAGTGACTTTAAGAAAGTAACTTGTCATGACAAATTTTCCGCTTGCCCTGATTTTATGACACAATCATGATGATGTAATTATGAAAGAATAAATCAACATGGTATTGGATGTTAATGTTTACTGGACTATTTATTGAAAAGTGATAAATAGCAAAGAATGATAAGTCTACTTTATCATCATTGTGAAATTTAAAAGCTACATTTTGAGTAGATATGAAATTAAATCCAAGTTTATTTGCAGTTTGAAACCATAAGTGGAAATGAAAACTGACTTGTCCCGGGCGTCGGGCGATGGGATTTTTGAACCCCTGGGTTACCACATCTTTTTAGTGAAAGTATGGTATTAATGATACATGAATCCATTCTCTGACAACTAAGATTAATTTCAAGTGTTAATAGCTGTCATCTGACCATGGTTGCTGCAAGCATGTTAACGAACGATTTGACAAAATTAATGCAATACTCAATGAACTTCTTTAATGGCATTTAAAAGTTGGAATGATGAAGATGAAAGAGTTTTATGGATTGACAAACTTTATTGCACTTGATGCGATTTCAAACAACCATCACTTGCTCGATAATGGTGTCAGTATCTACACTATTGCCATACGAAGTTGTCATTCCATAAAACTCATTCCTCTTAATACTGAATGAAAATTTGCATTACATAATTGAAATAGAAGTACAGGGTCCCCATCCACAAAGCCTTCATAAAGTTACGACCTGTCGTAACGTAATACTATATCATGTGGCTTATGAATGTCGTAGCGCTACGAATGCTTTGTGGATTTGGACCCAGATATACAATGAAAACATATTATTACTAGAAAGTGCAATACAAAGCATAATATTTCAGCTAAAAGGAAGATGTTTGTGGTGAAAATAAATAATATTTTGGGTGCCACTGATTTCCCTGCGATTAAGTGACACAGCAGCATTGTAAAGGACATTATCACAGGGAATGACTGAGTCCAGGTTATCTACTGAATAATCATGAAACATAACAAAATTCAGTGATGTAATTACACCTACACATGTACACCACAGGGACTACGCTAACAGTGACAATGATGATATCATGCAAAATAGAACATAAAATACTGTCTACATCTATGTACAAAATACGACCATGCATGATCAAACTCACTCTGTGATATTAAAATTGAGGACATTAGCGGGTAACCTGAAACAGCAAACAGGAGTAGTCAATCACACAAGCAACACTCAGGTTCATCACACAGGCATGGGATATGCATCAATCATCCTTTCATCATGTCACATCATAATGAGATTATCTTCAGACAGAATGCAGAAACATGGAACAAGATCTAGAACCTGCTCATGTAGGCTAAGAAACTCATTGATGCAGTCATATCACAATGCCAGTCACTAAATCCTGAGGTGAGGTGAAATTGGGTTTATCGTCGTGCTTGAGAATATTTTGCTATGACGACGTGCATGCGTGTGTATGTGTATGTGCAGCTGCTTGTACTACCCCAGACTGTAGCTGGTTTTATAGAGCTAGCCCACTGAGATACCACACCGCAGTGAAGCATAAATACCCCACTCAGACACAGTATACTGACTCCGAGCCGACCAGTCCTTGTTGTACCCACTAATGCCGAGCGCAAGGCAGGGACCAACAAGTGCCATATTTTAACGTCTTTTGATATGACGCGGTCAGGGATCAAACCCGCGACATTCCGCTCTCCGGGCGGACGCTCTAACCACTACACCACGGAGGCGGTCCACTAACTCCTGAACACCATAGTTTAACACAATATGAGAGGCCCAGAATATAAAAAGGAACATCTTGTATCAGTACTGCAATACCTGCAAACTGAGAGAGTCATATTTTAAGTCAGTAAATACTTAATCTAGACAGAGTTTTGAAATGGGCACCAGACCCTACAGGATAAGGTCTCTGAAGAAAATGTTAAGTAACATTATAAAACTGTTAATAGTGTTACATTGATAAACCGAGTTTAGCATCTATACTTAATAAAAGAAATAAGGGAACACCACTTAACACAGTGTTCCTTCTCACCCACAGTACAATTCAAAGCAGGAAAAATATGGAGAAATATGCGCTTCCATGTGTTCCCTTATTTGTTTCACAAAGAAAATAGATCATTTCACTTTGAGGACAGGACAATTGCAATGTTATTTCAAATTAACTCCTCGGTCTCTTCACTACCTCTTCACATGACGAAACTACATCTTGAAGACCTATCACGGTTTCACCACTGATATATTTATAAACAATGCTTTCATAACTGGTTCAATGAAATCAATAAAGTGAGGGTCACTGCTTGTGTTTGTTATATGAGAATTGTTGCAGTGGTGGAGTCTCTGTGTGTGTACAGCTTGTAAACAGACGGAAACTGAGAACTGTCCAGGGTCTTCTTTCACAAAGCACTTAGGTGATCATAAGTCACTATGGTAACCTTAGTGCAATGTTGAAGAATGGAAGTTAAGGTTAACCTTAGTAAAGATTGCTTTGTTAAAGGAGCCCCTAATCAAAGGATCTCATAATGCAACTTTAGCCATTAAACTTTAGTCCAAAGCCCAATCTAGCAAATTTCTGTTCAGATTTGTAAGCTGATGATAATCCATATGATGATGCTAAAATCTACTAATAATGATGAGCAGTGATGGGACTAACCAAATGAAAACTGTTTTGGCACAGACTGATGTCAGACAAAACACATCTTTGAACAGTAAAACTAAAATGTACCAGTAATGATGAGCTGTGTTGGAGCTAGCTGACTGAGGTCAGACAAAACTTATCTTCTAACAGTATTTCATTGATAGCATCCCATCTAACGGTAGAAGGAAAACTGATAGAAACACAAATAAAAAAAAACAACACTTCAGTGAGACCTACAATTTAAGGTATGGTATTGTCAGAGTAAATATTACATATAAATGATAATACTTACAGACAGGACCTGATCATAATGATAGCTGTACATGTTATGGAAAGATATGTAAACTCACCACTTTGTTTCTCCTTGTGAAACAAGCATGACAATACTAGTCCAGCGTGTCTATACACGGTAATACATATGATAAACATCAATTAACTGACTTTCACAATGCAATGACATTCATAATACCATACAATATGTACATCCTGTTCACTCTTCAGTGAACTCCCACAAAGTGAATCTCAATTCTCATAATTATGTATTTTTCATCGTTTCATTTAGTAATTTACTTGCACGGTACACTGACAGACACATAACAATTAGCTATTTGTGTGCTTTAAATACCAGAAAATAACATTTTTACAAAATTTGTCTTAAAAGATATATGTTAAGAACACACATGAAACTTAAAGGCACAATGTCGCACACTTTCAACAATATTTTGGACTACATTATATATATTTACTAAAATAGGGATATGCAGTTTTCACGAATAGCGTCTGACCCTCTGACAAATGTGGCAGATTCGCCAACGGTCAGACAGAAGTCTACAACCCGCCGGCCCCAGTGTCTGACTGTATATATCACAATGACTTGACTGAAGTTGTTTTATGTGACATGTGACACTTGTTTGCTGTTTATAAATCTTATGTTTGCTAATAATTTCAATGTCAATTATAAGAAATATTAAATCTGAAATGTGTGTTTAATTTTATTCCATGGGTCCTGTGCATTTTCAATGGGTCAGACAGACATGTGAAACTTACAAGACCCAATGTCCTGTGACTTTGAAACACCATTCGTGAACACTGGATATGCACTCACTTTAGCTTCCCATTGATGCAATAGGCTTATTATCCCTTACGACTGGCCTGAAATTGATAATTGAAACCTCGAGGCGAACAGTTTCCAAACAGAGAACACTTGCCATATATGGAATGCAAACAATTGCTCTGTACCTCGAAAACTGTCGAACGCTGTGTTGTTGGTGTTTGACGAACTGGTTTCAATCACAAGTTGTGCATAGGATATTTGTAAAGAGCACTCCAACGAACATAATTCTATAGGGTTTGCTTGAAATAATGTTGCATTAATTCATTCAAACTTTTTTATTTATTATTGTAATCTAAAAACGTAATCTTTTTTTGGAATAAATTATGTGGTAGCTTTCCCGAGGGCTGATGGTTAGTATTTTGAAAGAAATGCTTTATTTATTTTTAGGGAAATATGCTGACTTCAGCTGCAAAATGGCTAATACAGCCTATGTGACAGGTAACACTGATGCAATATTCCAGCTATATGACAGCAGTTTGTAAATAATGCAGCCTGGACAAGAAAATCCTATGACTCACATCAAATAAAAAATCCCATATCACCAAAGCCATACCAACAGCAAAGATGATAGTCGAAGGAAAGGAATCAAGAACAGGTATCTGTGCTGGACAGGGGGTAGGGCTGGGACGGGTAACTTGGTAGGGTAGGGTAATAGGGAGTAGGGTTCCCGGCAGGGACTAGGATAGAGAACTTTGACTTGGGCCATTTTCAGGATTATTAGCCATTTTCTATATTTAGAAGGGGCCACTGCCCTTGTATCAGTAGTCAACTTCAAAATTTTAATGGCCAATTTTTTATTCTAATGTGCAAAATGGCCCATGGCCCCTGCCTTTCCCAATCCCTGCCTGGGTAGAAAATTTGGACCAGTCCCAGCCCAAACAGGGGGTAACCTGACATGTTCCCTCCCAGGAACAAATGTGCTGTATGCATGTGTGTAGCTGCTTGTGCTAGTCCAGACTTTAGACTGTAACTTTAGCCAGTATTCAAAAACATCTTGGTTGGAAGGTGTGTAGGTCAGTAGAAGATTGGTCAGTTGATTTGTTTGTTGTTAAACGCTGCACTCAGCAATATTCTAGCTCTACGGTGGCAGTCTGTAAATAATCGAGTCAGGACTAGACAATCAAGTGATCAGCATCATCAGTATCGATCTACGCAGTTGGGATACGATGACATGTCAACCAAGTCAGCGAGCCTGACCACCCGATTCTGTTAGTCACCTTTTACGACAAGCAGGGGTTTCTGAAGACCAATTCTGACGCTGCTCTTCACGGGTATCAGACAGAAAGAAATCACATCACCGTGTGACTATTGGTGACAAAGTCATGAGGGCTTGATAAAATTCAACAGAAAAAAAAACTGACCTGTGACTGAACTGTCGCTCAAAGTAGCTTCTGTTCTCCTTCTCTTCAATCGGGTATTCCGGCACTTCAAATGGGGCAGTCACCTGGCGACTGACCTGTTCATTACCAATCTGACTTCGGTTCAAAATGGAATCCGCTAATGCCTGTAGTTTGTCATCAACATCAGTGTGAATGTGTTTGGGGAACTTGATTCTTGTGGGAGAAAACATTGGCGACATCACCTCTGGAAAATATATTGAAATTGTCTTTGATCTTACAACTAAAAACCACAGCAAAGAAGGGATTTTGAAGATATGACTTATCCAACTTCCCTCCAACAAGTTTAAGACCAAACTCAGCAATATTCCAGTTGGGTGATGATATGTTAGTCCAGTGATTCCACCATATGTCACTGTCATATGGGTCGAAAGTCCCAACCCTGCGTTCTTGAAAAAAGTGTTGTACAGGTATGGGTGATGATGAACAAATTACATACTAGTAGCAAATATAACATAATGATGATCTCACAGTCACTTGAATGTAGATCTAAGTACACATGCATCAGAAGACCTAAATAATAAAATAATTTCTGTGAATGAATTATTTAAGAACTGAATGTTATACTTGGAAATTAACTGTTGTTATATTCCATTTGCAGAATAAACGTGGTCCTTTGGCAGACCTGCTTGAATGTATCAACTGATGAGAGTGCAGTACAATGCCAGACAGGCAGTGTAACAAAATTAAACATGTAATTGATCAGACAATCGTGAGCTTAAATCTATGTGACTGGAATCAAACAGGAGGTTATAAACTATTAATGTGAATCTTGCAAGTAAAAGTAGCTGGGGACTTATATTCTTACCTGAAATACCCTCCCACCCACCTCCTCCCCAGCTTTGTGGCTCTCGAAAGATATCTTTCGGTCTGGTAGGCTTACTTAATCAACATTAAGATCTCCATGTAAAGAATAAAGATGTAATTATTTTTTTTCATTTCAGGGGCATTCCAACTATCTATTTTAACATGGCAATCATAGAAACTGGTCCTATAGTACTGTCGGAAATAGAAAAAAACTGTATTTTCTCATTTATCTCTACAATTTATGTAGTTGATATGTGAAAGTGTGAAATATCTGTTAAACTAAGTTCGGCCTAACTACAGTCTCAGTGGTAGAGAGATAGGAAATGGACAAAAAGGACTTTACTGAAGGGAAATTAGTGCAGAAATGAGCAATACGGTTTTTTTCTAAGTCCAAAAAGACTTATTTGGAACAGACCATGGCTTTATGCAAATTAGTGTGCGACGATATTGTATTACAAAGGACACTTTTTAAATGCCCAATTTGAAATTAGACGATTCATTATAAACGATAGCTGACGTCAAAAATAATAACTTTTATGCTGAAACTATTAAGGATGTAGCTACCATGCAGTCTCACTGTCACTATAAAAAGAAACAGATAAGAGGGGTCGCCTCAAAAGCAAAACCTGGGGTCGGGCTTAGGGATAGAGATATCAACTAAGATAAGATAATCCTTTAGGGCAATTATACTGGGGAGGTACACGGCACGTCATAACAATTTACAAATAATATCCAGTCCTGTCGATCTTCGGGTGGTCATGCCACCTATATACTACGATGCGCTTCTATGGTTTTCGGTATCATACTCTCTTACATATCTCAACATAAACTTTATGAAAGAAAGACACGTAAGATGTTAATCAGTAGATGAGACATAGTCAACACACATGAAAAAGCACAAAACATCTTTGAGATGACCCCTTGTGCCTGTAGGCAGCACGTGCATTCCATGCCAGGTGAGTCGACGGTCCATCGTCATACCTGGCTGAGCGACCTAATTGCCATCTATGGTCTAATCTATTGTTTTCAGCAGCTATTCATATTTTTTCTAAGTTTTGCCCGATTTAACGAGTAAACTTGCTTTTCTGGATAATGTATTACGCATCCCACAGAACGCCCAGTTAGGCCAAAGTGGGTTATTTCGACATATGCTATTTGCAATTGTGGCAATTTTAGGGATACAGAGTAACAGCCTAAAAAACAGTTTTTTTCTATTTCCGACAGTACTTTAGTCCTTTATTCAATACCAAACTGCCTAACTGTCAAAGTATCATTACAGGACTACTAGTCCACTCATTTAAAAATGTAATAGCACATAAAGGTCTATTCTCCTACACTTTATTTTTTGTCAGTGAAATATAAGTCACCTTGACTAAACCATTATGTTAGTAATAGTTGAAATAGTTGAACAGTTAAAGTTGAACTGAGAAATTGTTAGTTCCCTTTTGGAAATTTACTCAAAAAAGAAAAATAGTTCACTGGATAACTACATTTTTCTTATTTTTGAAAAAGACATTTAAGTATTATTTTAGTTTGAGTTTGTGAGTTAATATATATTTACATATTATACAGATTCTTGTAATAATAGAAAAAAAACTTCCTTATCTACATATTTCCATGGGTATGTAGTTAGACAAAGGTATACATCATCTCAAAGAATGTGTTTCTCAAACTAAATTCAGATTGAACTTCATACGAAGAAAGAAAGGTAAGGGATTTCACATAATTTGGTTTAGTACAGAGCTATAGTGAACAAATATTATCAAGGGCATTTAAGTGCAGAGCATTATATGGATTACAATACTTCTGGGTCAAGAGACCCGCTACCTGGGAATGGATGAGTCGGTCATCATATAACTGACCCATATTGCTGAGAAACTGATGAGTCAGTAAATTTCATTTACACTACAGCTATATGAGACAGGTGGCTAGGTAACCAACCAATCTTATTATGCTGACACTGCTGATTTCTGAGCTACAACACTGATGTACATAGACAAAGTGTATCTACTTTGAAACATGTAGTGCCTTATAAATAGCAGTGATTGAGATGCATAATGTTACAAGCTGGGGATCCTGGTCATTACCCTAAAAAAATCAAATTACAATTTAGGGGACTGAGATTAAAAGACTATCAGGATTTCCCTTACTGTTAAAGCATTGGAAAAAACGGTATTGATTGTTCATCAGTGAATTCTTAGTGTTTCTCAAGAGTCACCAGTTATTTGTTCGTTATGACAATGTGATCTTACAAGTTGAGGAGTGTTCTGACTCTCTTCTCCGGAGTAATCTATTTTAACATTAACATGCCTCTGAAACAAGAAAATTGGAACTTAAGGAAATTAAAGAGAAACAGCATTTCTTTTGCAAATTGACCTATCATGGTCACTTACAGTAGAATCGTAGACAAATCCCAGCAACACACATGAAAACCAATTACCGAGTACAAGCCATGGATCAGGTGCGACTGTGAGTGTGACAAATACGCATCATCAGGCACAGGTGCGGAAATACCTGTGTCCATGTCATTGTCAACTGATGTTACAGGCTGCCAGTCTGTGAACATATCTATTCATAACATGTCTGAAATTTCAATTACACAATCAGTTTCTACACTATGGTGAAGCTGGTAACATTTGAGTTTTGTACCAAACTCATGATTATGAATACTGATTAGTTACAACAAGAGCATTCTTCTCATGTGCTAAAACTAAAATAATGATGATTTGCTTGATAACGGTGTTAGTAGCTACACCGAAACGTCGCTCATATTATATTAAAGAAGTTGTATATCCATAGAACTCTCCTTGTTGTTCAAGAATTATTTGGCTACATTCTTTTGAGAATCAGGGCTAGATTACCCAGTGACGGACATCATTAGTATTAATCTTTCCAACTATGATCTTCAGAGAATGTATATGTGCTTTGTTTGTCTATACTAGCACATCCAGCAATATTTTAGCTAGAAATCTACAAAGCAATGGTCTGTAAATGACTGGTTTGACCAGAAGAACCAGTGATGGAATACACAATGCATTGTAAACATGCTTTGTAAGCCAGTGATTGATGGTATGATCAACCATCCGTGCCATGTGTACTTTGACACCCATCAACTTGGTCCCTAAGTGTGACTACTCAAGAGCTGACAAGCAACAGAAAGGGTATTAGGTTTGGAGTCACTTGCCTGAAAATTATGATGTCTACTTCCATGTGGGGCTATTGGAAGGTGGCTATCATGCATTTTATGTTTGGCTGAACTTGTTCACTATTTAAGAAGCAGGATTTTCATTGAAGTTCAGAAATTTGACACGAAAGCTTTTGAAACAGAGGGATATAATATTAACACAGAGCTGTACTGTACCCACTGTATTTGTTTGGAGTGGGTATTATGAATGTTGAGTGGGTATTTCATTTTCCGTTACCCACTGCTTTCAAATATGTGAGTATTTCAGTCATTTTATTCACCTAAGTATTATGTCATGGAGTTAGTTTACTAAGCAGGTATGTTCTGCCTTATGTCATACCTAATCAAAACCAACTGAAATATAATGGAAATGATTTCATAAAAAATCACTCATCCTATACTGACAGTACAACACTTCTCCTATACTAACAGTACAACTTGATAGCAATCGATCTCTTTTTCATTAAGCAAGCGATTTTTATAAATATATTCTGTCGCATTTGTTTTAAACCTTTTGCCTATCTAACATTTTAAATGCGTAATTTGTACGCAACAATTATTTTTCAATGCGTAATTGGAAATTTTCTATGCGTATTTTACACAGATACACAGCTTATCTGGGCCTCTGTTAACAGTGACTCAAGTGGAAATTGCAGAACATTGGGAACCTCCACCTTCAGATTTACAATATTCAATATCTGACACATACCAGAAAATATAAACACTGGGTGGGAACCCCATTTTTTCTGAGCACCAAGGGAATTATATAAAGTTAAAATTGCAAGATATGGTATTTATTTACCTCAATTTCACACTGGTTGAATAATTTTAATATAAACAAATTATTATTTTTATCTGATTGCTACTAAACACAGTGATGAGAAATATTCGGGCAATGGTAATTCCTGAAATATTCGAACCACACCTGATGAGCCTGAAAGAAAGCGGCACATATAGGCTAAATCAACACGATCAGCTGATCACATTGATTGAGGGGCTGCCATATTGACAAGCGCTTACCGTAAAAAAACTGATAATACATGTTCCTCCTAAATAAATTACAAGCAACGAAGAAATATGCGCCTAAAACGCATTCGAATGGAACAAATGCACGCATACATCAAAGTGGATTCATTGTAGTTAACTTCCAGTGGTGCGTTCACGTCGAGACCCTGACGGAAATCTGATCCGTTCAGAATCAAAGCAATGATTACCTGCGGCTCCTCGCTTATTCGTCTCCTCATCTAACTCATTCCCTTCGATTGGAAGCTCCATAGTATTTAAAGATACAAAAAATAAAGAACAGTATATATTGTGACAGATTCAGCTGAATTCATTCATGACATGTATCAAACATAACCGTTCAACGCAATATCGTCTGCGAGTCTGAAACTGTCATAGGGGACAAGTTATATATCCTGTGTACATATTTTTCTCCCCTAATTTCATAATTGCATTTGAAACAAATACATGCAAGAAATAGAACAGAAATGTATATTTAAATAGAACACTTTGAATAATTATCACTGCTTGGAACTTTACCTTTTGCTATGGGCATTAACCCAAAATAAATATTTTTTCACAATGATTGATCCCTACATAATTTGTACGGAAACTTCTCTGTGCCTTTATTGCGGAAACTGGATCAAGCGTAATCCACATAAATGTTTCCCTCAACAACAGCTAGTTAGAGATATTTCACAGAAATATTTATCATATGTGGAGATTTATGGTTTCTACGTACGAATTGGTGTCTGTGCAAGAAAGTATACATGGTTCAGTGGCTTGGTTCAATAGGTGTGATAAACGATATGCGCGATTTGTGTGATGAGACCAGTCGGTATATGGTCTCTGGATGAGACTAGGCCATGCATATATTCCGAGAGTGAGTGATCGGATTTTGTCAAGGCGTCTGGTTCAACCTCATGCGTGCAATCCCCAGCCAAGTATATGACCGAATCTGAGACAGTGAGTCAATTAAACCGCTCAGTGAGTGAGTGTGACTTAACCAGGTGCGCGCGCAGTGCTCTAAAGAAAGCCCTTTTTTCGTTTTTAAAAGCCCGATAGGTGACAAAGCTTTGTATTTAGGGACCGTTCATAATTTATGGCTAGGTGGGGTGATGATGATTTTATGGAAAAGCACGTACAATGTGAATTAACCCACCCCACCACCCCCCTAAAATTTATGTACCAGGTAAATTACACCCCACCCACCCCCACCCCCACCCGCGCGCATGTCAAGTACAAAGTCAATTCCCCTCCCCTTTCCATATTTTTAGAATAGAATAGAATAATACTTTAATGCCTTTTCAGGAATTTGTGTTAAAGCATAAGTTAAAATATTTTTATGTACGAAATTGCTGACCCCCCAAGAAACGTGTACAAAATTGATGACCCCCATCTCCCCAGAACAAAATGGGTGACCCCCCCTTAAAATCATCATCACCACCCACCCACCCAGCCATAAATTATGAACGGTCCCTTATATAGATAGTATTGAGGGCTTGCCCAACTTTCATAGCAAACATCATGTGTAAGCCCGGGGTTTTTTTCATAATGGCAGCTACGTATATATACGCCCCTGTAAGCAGTACACAGCAGTATCACGGCCGGGGACACCAGACATGGGCTTAACACAATGTGCCGATGTGGGGAATCGAACCCGGGTTTTCAGCGTGACGAACGGAGGGTGTTATTTAGTCTAGGAACGTCTACATGGTCTATAGTGGTTAGAACGTCTAGACCCGGGAGAGCGGAGGGTGGTGCTCAGTCTAGGGACGTCTACATATGGTCTATGGTGGTACGTCGTCTAGTACCGGCCAGGTGAACTGAGGTCGGTGTTTAGTCTAGGGACGTCTACTTAGTCTATGGTGGTTATAGAGCGGCTACATCTGCCGAGAGAGCGGATCGAGGGTAGTGTCTAGGGACGTCTACATGGTCATGGTCTACTATATGGTGGTTAGAACGTCTAGATCCGGGAGAGCGGAGGGTGGTGCTCAGTCTAGGGACGTCTACACGGTCTTTAGTGGTTATACAGCGTCTAGATCCGGGAGAGCGGAGGGTGGTGCTCAGTCTAGGGACGTCTACACGGTCTTTAGTGGTTATACAGCGTCTAGATCCGGGAGAGCGGAGGGTGGTGCTCAGTCTAGGGACGTCTACACGGTCTTTAGTGGTTATACAGCGTCTAGATCCGGGAGAGCGGAGGGTGGTGCTCAGTCTAGGGACGTCTACATGGTCATGGTCTACTATATGGTGGTTAGAACGTCTAGACCCGGGAGAGCGGAGGGTGGTGCTCAGTCTAGGGACGTCTACACGGTCTTTAGTGGTTATACAGCGTCTAGATCCGGGAGAGCGGAGGGTGGTGCTCAGTCTAGGGACGTCTACACGGTCTTTAGTGGTTATACAGCGTCTAGATCCGGGAGAGCGGAGGGTGGTGCTCAGTCTAGGGACGCCTACACGGTCTTTAGTGGTTATACAGCGTCTAGATCCGGGAGAGCGGAGGGTGGTGCTCAGTCTAGGGACGTCTACACGGTCTTTAGTGGTTATACAGCGTCTAGATCCGGGAGAGCGGAGGGTGGTGTTCAGTCTAGGGACGTCTACACGGTCTTTAGTGGTTATACAGCGTCTAGATCCGGGAGAGCGGAGGGTGGTGTTCAGTCTAGGGACGTCTACACGGTCTTTAGTGGTTATACAGCGTCTAGATCCGGGAGAGCGGAGGTGGTGTTCAGTCTAGGGACGTCTACACGGTCTTTTAGTGGTTATACAGCGTCTAGACCCGGGAGAGCGGAGGGTGGTGCTCAGTCTAGGGACGTCTACACGGTCTTTAGTGGTTATACAGCGTCTAGATCCGGGAGAGCGGAGGGTGGTGCTCAGTCTAGGGACGTCTACACGGTCTATAGTGGTTATACAGCGTCTAGATCCGGGAGAGCGGATGGTGGTGCTCAGTCTAGGGACGTCTACACGGTCTTTAGTGGTTATACAGCGTCTAGATCCCGGGAGAGCGGAGGGTGGTGTTCAGTCTAGGGACGTCTTTAGTGGTTATACACTAGATCCGGTCTGGTGTTCAGTCTGGTACACGGTCTTTAGTGGTTATACAGCGTCTAGATCCGGGAGAGCGGAGGGTGGTGCTCAGTCTAGGGACGTCTACACGGTCTTTAGTGGTTATACAGCGTCTAGATCCGGGAGAGCGGAGGGTGGTGCTCAGTCTAGGGACGTCTACACGGTCTTTAGTGGTTATACAGCGTCTAGATCCGGGAGAGCGGAGGGTGGTGCTCAGTCTAGGGACGTCTACACGGTCTTTAGTGGTTATACAGCGTCTAGATCCGGGAGAGCGGAGGGTGGTGCTCAGTCTAGGGACGTCTACACGGTCTTTAGTGGTTATACAGCGTCTAGACCCGGGAGAGCGGAGGGTGGTGTTCAGTCTAGGGACGTCTACACGGTCTTTAGTGGTTATACAGCGTCTAGATCCGGAAGAGCGCAGGGTGGTACTCAGTCTAGGGACGTCTACACGGCCTATTGTGGTTATACAGCGTCTAGTACCGGCCAGGTGAACGGAGGGTGGTACTCAGTCTAGGGACGTCTACTTAGTCTATGGTGGTTATAGAGCGTCTAGTACCGGCCAGGTGAACGGAGGGTAGTGTTCAGTCTAGGGACGTCTACATGGTCTACTATATGGTGTTTAGAACGTCTAGACCCGGGAGGGCGGAGGATGGTGTTTAGTCTAGGGACGTCTATTTAGTCTATGGTGGTTATAGAGCGTCTAGATCCGGAAGAGCGCAGGGTGGTATTCAGTCTAGGGACGTCTACATGGTCTATTGTGGTTATACAGCGTCTAGTGCCGGCCAGGTGAACGGAGGGTGGTGTCTGGCCTAGGGACGTCTACTTAGTCTATGGTGGTTATAGAGCGTCTAGATCCGGGAGAGCGGAGGGCGGTGTTAAGTCTAGGGACGTCTACACGGCCTACTATATATGGTGGTTATAGAGCGGCTACATGTGCCGAGATAGCGGATCGAGGGTAGTGTTCAGTCTAGGGACGTCTACATGGTCTATAGTGTTAAGAGCGTCTAGATCTGCCAGGAGAGAGAAGGGTACGGTGTTCCATCTATAGGGACGTCTGTAGACATGGTCTATAGTGTTTAGAGCGTCTAGATCTGCCAGGAGAGAGAAGGGTGGTATTCCATCTATAGGGACGTCTGTAGACATGGTCTATAGTGTTAAGAGCGTCTAGATCTGCCAGGAGAGAGAAGGATACAGTGTTCCATCTATAGGGACGTCTGTAGACATGGGTGCCGTTGTACAAAGCGATCTTAGTGCTAAGGTCTAGATCGTAATTCCATCTATAGATACCTTAACATAGAGCGTCTTAAGGTAGTCAGGAGAGAGAAGCTAAGTGTTCCATGTTTAGGAACAACTGCAGACATGGTCTATAGTGGTTAGAACGTCTAGATCTGCCAGGAGAGAGAAGGGTGGTGTTCCATCTATAGGGACGTCTGTAGACATGGTCTATAGTGGTTAGAGCGTCTAGATCTGCCAGGAGAGAGAAGGGTGGTGTTCCATCTATAGGGACGTCTGTAGACATGATCTATAGTGGTTATAGAGCGTCTAGATCTGCCAGGAGAGAGAAGGGTACGGTGTTCCATCTATAGGGACGTCTGTAGACATGGGTGCCGTTGTACAAAGCGATCTTAATTAGCGCTAAGACTACCTTAGGTCTATGTTAAGGTGTGGGAGTTACGGTCACCTTAGCGCTAAGATCGCTTTGTACAACGGCACCATGGTCTATATAGTGATAGGGTAGGGTACATAGGTTAGGGTTGGGTACCAGTTCTACACGATGTAATTTTATTTGATGCCTCATGAAACAAATAGACAAAAAGCTCCTTATTGGGGAATTTTCTTTCGGACTTCTGTGTAATATTATATATTTCTTAATAGATGCAATTATTTGGGGAATAAGTTCTACTGATTCTATGTCCAAGTGAATTCATTTTGCATTTTGTATTTTCCGATACTTGCAGACATTATACTCTCGAGTTGTGAGAAAGTAATTACTCATATTTTCCTTTCCCAGATAAATCGAAGAAAGGAGATTTTTCCATTGTTGGTATTCCATACAAAAGCAACTTTTGTACTGTCCGGATTTTAACAGGCTCGAATTACCTCCCCTAGAAATCACGACTTGGGTGAATGTTGACCCGCAAGATATGATGTTTTGACATAGAATCACAAAAACACAATGCCATACAGTTACTCAGTTATAATGTCTAAACTGGCGTGAGTCCATGGCATAACGAGCCAGTCGCGCCTTACACGCAACATGCTCAACTTGACACGTAACTGTAAGTATACCGGGAATACACGTGACCTTGTTTACAGTCAACTTGACCAGCTCTGCACTCTCTAGTCTTATACCAAAATGTGTAAACAGATATTTCTATTTATTAGCATTATTGTGAGGGTTTAGGGGAAGGGTTAGGCTTTTTATGAAGGGCATCGAATGATAAAATAAAAAAATACGGGATTCCGGGCGGAAATCTTTGCAAAAAATGCATATTATATGCAGTAAACCCTACTGGCACTTGACAACTGGACTTCAATAGGCACAATTAACATTAACACCACAGATGATTTAGGATATCCATCAACTTTGGTTGAGTTAAGCATCTCCCCCCAAACTAACAAATTGAATTAATACAAAAGACTGGCATTACAGGAACATTATGAGTTATAAATTTACTTTTTGTTGATGAATTAAAGAAATGATATATTATTAGTAGGGTATACTTAGATTGTCGTGTATATTGTTTGTTGTTTAATGATGCACTCAGCAATATGAACTCTAACTATAGGGCGGCTGTCTGTAAATAATCAAATCTGGACCAGACAATCCAGTGATCAACATTATAAGCATCGTTCTACGCATTTGGGATACGATGACATGACTAGTCGCCTCTTATGACAAGCATGGGTTACTGAAGATCGATGCTAGCCTGGATATTCATGGGTGTTTTTATCAGTACTTCAGAACAGAAATGTAATGAAGGCATATTTTACTAAGAAAGTGTAATCCTAAACATAACATATCTTACATTTGAGCACTTTCTAAATGGTATTGTGTAATTATAGCTTACAGCCGTGGGAGCCAATTTATCACTTATCGGAGCGATACACAAAGTGCTCAGTCTAGACTACCATGCAGTTGTCTGACATCCATTTGTTGTGGAAGTCACGGCGGCTGACTTTGTGTGCTGGCAATTAGGTGCTTGAATCTGAGGGTGTGGGTTCGAATCCCGGATGGAACTCAACCAAACAAAAGTACTAGAATCTGTACTTTTCTAAGAAAGTGTAATCCCAAATATAACATATGTTTCATTTGACCACTTTCTAAATGGCATTGTATAATCAAGGCATACTGTTGTTCTTGTTTGGCCACCATGTTGGCAATACTCCGACAGCACCTGACAAGGCATACTGTTCAAATCTTTAAAGGGCATCAAGAAGTGGAATGCATAAGTAGAGCAAGATTTATGGCTGTCAACTTCCTTATTGTGAATAACACGACGTTTCAGAGTGTATGCTTGCTCCTGATGAATATGCTCTGTGCGTACACTCTGAAATGTCATGTTATTCACAATAACGAAGCTGACATCCATAAATCTAACTTTCAATTGTCACACTGTTGTTTAACTTGTGTATGGTTGCCCTTGGTATTAGGGTTGGGTATTAGGGGTGGGTAAATTGCCGAAATTTTCATATTGCGATATATTGCGATGTGAAAGCATATATTGCGATATGTATTGCAATATATTGCAAGAATTCTTTTTAAAAAAAACTACTTATAATCGAGTTAATGCTTGATTTACAAAGCAAAAACACAACAAAATCACTATGCTTTATTAGGCTTTAATAAAAACTTTAAATCATGACAAAATAAAAATGCAAATAATGTTTGGAATAAATGAAACAAGGAAAGGAACAAATTAACAAAACGGAAATATCCGAAGATTTCCGAGTGTTATTAAGTTTTCCGGATGCATGTCAAAATACCGTTTTTTTATCAGCGTATCGCAATACGTATCGTTCTCATGCCTAAACCGGTATATACCGGTAAATCGGTTATATTGCACAGCCCTACTTGGTATTGCCCGCCACCATGTCGGTGTTGGGTCACTGGAATACATCTCTCTTCGTGAGAACATCACCCAGATGCATGATGTCAGGGGACATATCAAGGTACTTAGCAGGCCTGTCCAATGTCTCTGGGTATGATTTGGCCAGCCATTGTAATGCAGTTCAAATTTCTATGTTGAATGGAAATGTTTGGTTTGTTTCTTAACTGTTTAATGCCACACTCAGCAATTATCAGCTGTAAGGTGGCAGTCTATGAAGAATCAAGTTTGTACCAGACAATCCTGTGATCAACAGCATAAGCAACCAAATCAGCAAGCCTGACCACCCAATCCTGTTAGTCACATCTTACGACACTTAAATGTTACATGATTTATTATCTTACCTCACACATAAATGTTGCTTTCTGACTGGCTGAGCTCTCTTCTATTATTTTCAATGTACCCCGCTTACAAGCGAGTAACATTTCAGTGTACCCCGCTGTCAATGGCAACTCATTTGGTACTTCGTGGTAGTAATTCTTTATCTCGAATAATATTGAATCACGTATGACGTGCGAAAATTACCGATGTTTTGCGAATGATGGAAGGGAGATAATTCTAAATCTATTTTTCTTGTCAGCAAAATCTAGCGATGGCTACAAAAAGATTTGTACCCGTGCTTCAAACAATTCAAAATTAACATTAAGGTGTTCGGTAAGATAAATACGTTGTTCACTGGTCCCTCGGAGCCAATGGGTTGATGTACCCTTGATGTTTGTTTATGTTCCTTGAGCCCTTCGCGGAAAATATTTCTCACTCATTCACTCATCCCCATGCAGCAAATGAAACTCAACTTAAAGACACATGACAATTGATCTGAATAAATATTGCAATTATCCACGATGGAAGATTCATGATGTTATAAATAACTGGATGATCGCTTAGTCAACGGCATCCATGTCTGTGTAACCGAGGTCCCTGTAAGCAGTCCGATTGTCCTGGTTGTCTCCCCTTGTTTCCCTAGCATCATCACTGTCACTGGACGCCTTCTCCAACAAGCTTCTTCGGGCTCAGGGAACATAAACAAACATCGAGGGTACATCAACCCATGCCCCCCTCGGGACCAGTGAACAACTTATAATAGAAGTCAGCTTCTGTCCCCATGGTACTCTGTCATTATAGTTCGATAGAGTATTTGTCCATGTTTCAGGAGTCATGGTGCTACAGCTGTCACTGGCGAGCCATCAGCTTTAGGGTGGATCCAGATTCTGTGAGGGGGAAAGAAATGGCCGAGAGCTGTGTTGTCAGGATGGCATCAGCACCACTGAGGAGGAGTTCACGAGAGAGGAAGAAAAATGTGTGTAGCATGTTTGAGTACGACAAGGTTTGTTTGCCTTCAAAGAAGAAGGACAGGACTCCAGTATCCCCTGACAGAAGAAGCACAAGGACCTCAACTGGTGATGAAGTGCACAAGAGTAGTACAAAGATGTCCAGGTGTGTATCTGGACAGATGCAGCAGGAAGAGAGTAACAAAGTTCTGTGTTGTCCAGAGTCATCCAAAGTTGGTACGGTCAATACAGCATCACCAGCAGAGAAGGGGGATCAACTTGGGTCTCATCAACAGGATGTGGCTACAGGTCCAAGAAGACTGAAGCATGTGACTGCAAGTGTTAGAGAACAGCAGGATGTGATTCCAGGTGTTAGAGAACAGCAGGATGTGATTCCAGGTGCTAGAGAACAGCAGGATGTGGTTCCAGGTGTTAGAGAACAGCAGGATGTGGTTCCAGGTGCTAGAGAACAGCAGGATGTGGTTCCAGGTGCTAGAGAACAGCAGGATGTGGTTCCAGGTGTTAGAGAACAGCAGGATGTGGTTCCAGATGTTGCAGAACAGCAGGATGTGGTTCCAGGTGTTACAGAACAGCAGGATGTGGTTCCAGGTGTTAGAGAACAGCAGGATGTGGTTCCAGGTGTTACAGAACAGCAGGATGTGGCTGCAAGTGTTACAGAACATTGTGATGTGGCTGCAGGTTCTGGAGAACAGGTGGGTAAGAAATACCTGGATAAACATTCTGATGGTTCAGACTCACCCAATATGGTGCCCCCTGGTTATAAAAAATCCAGTCTAAGAACAAATTGTGTACTTCAAAATAAGAAATCTGATAGAAGTCATGAGAACATTGGTGAATATTTGACTGACAGTCTGGTGTCCCTCAATGAAAGTCAAGTGCCCAAAGTCCCATCTCACCCAGAACATGCCATAAAAACACCTCTAAGATCATCATCAGATGAGAGTGAGCAGGATGATTCTTCTCCAATAAGAAAGAGAACACGGAAGTTCCGGATGAATAGGTCAGAAAGGAAAAAATGCTTCTGTTCATTTTGTGGCAAGGGGTTCATCAACCAGAGTCTTCTTGTCACTCATGAACGCTGTCACTCTGGTGAAAGGCCATATGCATGTTCTATCTGTGGACAAAGTTTCGCCCTCAAGTCCAACATGCATCAACATGAACAACTTCACTCAGAGGATCGGCCTTTCATGTGTGAGGTCTGTGGCAAGTGCTTCAAGACCAGGTCCTACTACAAGGAACATAGCAAGACTCACCAAGTTGTGAAAAGCATCAAGTGTGAAGTCAGTGACTGTGACAAAACCTTCTCTAGTAAAACTAATTACCAGGCTCACTTGTTGTACCACAAAGGGGAGAAGCCCTATGTTTGCAAAGATTGCCACAGGACATTTCGTCGAAAACAGGCACTGAAAAAGCATTCATTAATGCATTCAGGACTAAGGAAATTTGAATGTTTGTCATGTGGAAAGGACTTTGTCCACCAAGATGCCTACCATGCTCATGTCCGGCTTCATGACAAGAAGCCGTTTTCTTGTGGAGTGTGTAAAAAGTTCTTTGCCTCAGAAGATGAGAGGGAGTCTCATCAGGTGCTCCATTCTCAGTACCCATTCTATAGCTGTGAATTCTGCCATCGCAGTGGCATGCACTTTCAAGATCTGTCAAAACATATGAAGAAACATGGACTTCAGATTTTAAGCAATATCAAATGTCCTAATTGTCGGAGGTCATTTGCAACACAGAATATATTCAACCAACATACCGCTGTAATAAGTCTAACATGTTCTGCATGTGGAGTACCCCTGAAATCAGCTTGTATGTATTACTCTCACAGAAACAGCCACAGGAACAACGGTCATGTTCAACATGATCACATCTTTGGTCATGTCTGTGACATCTGTGGGAAGGACTTCCAAAAAATGTCTCTGCTTAAGAACCACAAACTTATCCATGGTGAGACAAGGTTCAAGTGTGACGCTTGTGGCAAGGAGAGTAAGACCAAACCATGTCATGTCGCACATGTCAAGACACACAGTGGCTTGAAACCCTTTTGTTGTGAAGTATGTGGAAAATACTTTGTGTCTCTTACCAACCTTCAGAATCACCAGCTTATCCACACAGGGGAAAAACCTCATGGCTGTCTTATCTGCCATAAGTTTTTCAGGACACGTGCCTTGCTTCGCGAACATGGGAATGTTCACTGTAACAAGAAGCGTTTCAAATGTGAACAATGTGGTAAGGAGTATACAAGCAGGACCAATTACATAAATCACCTCAACGTCCATAAAGGTCAAAGAAACTATGAGTGTGAACTCTGTGGGAAAAAGTTCTTTGCTAAGTATGTGATGCGAAAACATATGCAGATCCATACAGGACAGAAGAACTACCAGTGTGATTTTTGTGGGAAGAAGTTCATTCAGCATGGGAATTGGTTGATTCACCGACGTTCACACACAGGTGAGCGACCTCATAGGTGCGAGCAGTGTCCGGCCAGCTTTGTCAACTCATCACAGTTAAAGTCTCATAGGAGAAGAGTCCATGATCAGAAGAAGGAAGAAATGTGTGATAAATGCTTTAAACATTTCTATGACAGGAAAGGTCTTCTGTCACACATGAAAAACATACATGTTCGAAAAGAAAATGCTGAGATATTTGCATGTAACAAATGTGATAAGCTGTTTGTTTCCAAAGAAAATTATTGTGTCCATGAAGGTGTATGTAAGGTGCCCAAAAAACCCTTACCTAGCCTACAGCCATCAATTCTTCAAAGTGTCTTGAGAACAGTCTACTCTAAAGCAAGCATGTCGTCCTATGGTGAGAAAGAGGATACTGGATCTAATCATACAGGTCAGATGTTACAGGAAGAAGACTTCCTTTTTCAGTTTGAATCTGTGAAAGTTAAGAAAGACAATGAATTAGAAGGTCAGGACACAGAGCTTTCTCACCCATCTCTTCCCCAAGCAGCCCAGCAGTTTAAGTTTCATTCTCTTCCTTGTGTTGACGACAACAGTGACGGTTTGACTGGAGATAATATCGAGATCGTTGAGATTAGTGAGTCGGTGATAGAAGCAGATTTATCAAGTCCGAAAGTAGAGATGAGAGATGAAGAGGCATCTGTTGCTGCTGTAGACATCGGTGAAGTTGTTGTGGACACAGACATTGGTGTAGCAGAGGGGAGAGAAGATGTATCTATTGCTTCTGTAGACATCGATGAAGTTGTTGTAGGCACAGAAATAACTGGAACAGAGGTGAGTGAAGGGGCAACTGTTGCTGCTGTCGACATTGGTGAAATTGTTGTACACACAGACATAGGTGTAGCAGAGGGGAGAGAAGAGGTATCTGTCGCTGTTGTTGACATCACCCAAGTTGTTGTAGACACAGACTTAGATGTAACAGAGGGAAGAGAAGAGGAATCCTTTGCTGCTATAGACATCCGCGAAGTTGTTGTGGACACAGACCAAGGTGTAGCAGATGTGACAGAAGAGGCATCTTTTGCTGCTGTAGATACAGGTGAGGATGTTGTAGATGCAGACATTGATGTAACAGAGGTTGAAGTCAGTGATGCTGTGGTGCAGTCAACCCTTCCAGAGATGGAGGTCAAGCTGGAAGCTGTAGTGCTGGAGTCCACTGTCCAGCCTCTGCAAAGAGCTTTTGCTAAAAGTAGTGAAAGAACACAGTCTAGCGGTGTGGAAAATGAGGTTATGGGAAATGCAAACACTGAGTCCCTTTACACATTTGACATCGTTAATGAACCCCAACGCCCAACTGCTGTGGAAACTGGAACCATGTCTGTACAAGAAGCAAATGACACTCAAAGTACTAGGTCATGTCATGAAGCAGCAAAGGTTACAAAACCAAAAGCAACTTGGACAATGAGTGGAAGTACCTCCATGTTCCAGTGTTACTTGTGTAAGAAGGTGCTGGTGTCTCGAAGAGAAGCCAGACTGCATGAGAAGGTCCACCAGGCAGATCTACTGTATCAGTGTAGCCTGTGTGGGGCTCAGTTTGGGACGGCAGCCACACTCACCAACCACCTCAAGACACACTGTCAAGTCCAGGGTCATCCAGAGAATACAGTTATTGATGATGGCAGATCAAGGCACATCCATGAAGGTTCTTTGTGTGGAAAGTCACGTATACGAACATATTCTTGTGATGTATGTAACAAAGGATTTTCCTTCATTGGACTTTATAGGCTTCATACAGATTCTCACAGGCTCAGCTGCTGCTTCAGGTGTTACAAATGTGGCCGGATATTCCAAGACAGAAGAAGATTTGAATGTCATATCCAGTCTCATTCCCAGAAGGGATATAAATGTGGGGCTTGTGGGAAGATGTTTGCCATGGAAGTTGTTCTCAAGATGCATCAGAAAAGACATTGTTGTCATGGTTACCAAACAAACAAATGAATACCCAAAACTCTCACAACGGCATGCCAACAACCATGTCCCAAGGATGCACTTACAACAAACAGATTTTCTGTAAACACAGTGATGCCAACCATCAGAACCAGTGGCCCACCATTCCTGTGGACATTGAGAACCGAGTAAAATGGCATCCATGTGTGGTGATACAACCTTAAGAAAGAAGAACACTGAGAGACACCAAGTGGTTCATATGGCAGAGATGAAAAACCTGTTGGATCTGTGATCTATGTTTTTCCAAAGAAGTTACTTTTAGACATCATATAACAGGGCTCCAGATAAGTTTTCAACCTCAGGAGTACGTACTCCATATTTTTTTACTGCAGGAGTACTGGAAAACCTTAAGAGTACATTTAGAGTACTGAGTGGAATTTAATGGCGTATCAGTAATCTTGTGTTTGGTTTCATATATGCACCACAACATTGATAGTCTTGTGTAAACAGGTCAATAAACAATAAACCAATATTTGTTTCAGATAAATACGTCTGTAAATGATTTTAAGACCGTACACCATTGGTGTGGTGCGTACCTGCTACGTTTTCTAAATTATTTGCTACCGTATCGTGCATATTTTGTATCCGTACATACGCCGATACGGCCCTTATCTGGAGCCCTGTTATGAAACCTCATGGAGAGGTGGTTGTTCAGGTTGGCAAAGGGAACTCAAACTGTGTGGATAGGTTTTGGATATGATGGGAGATGGCTTGATTTCCTGAGAGACAGGATCTGGGGATTCCTATTTCTCTGGCAGAGGCTGTGCAGATTGGAATGGGGAAGGCTCACTGTGTAGCATGTGTGGGACAGGATTGAAGATGGGAAATGACTTGATTTCCTGAGAGACAGGATCTGGGGATTCCTATTTCTCTGGCAGAGGCCGTACAGATTGGAATGGGGAAGGCTCACTGTGTAGCATGTGTGGGACAGGAGTGAAGATGGGAAATGACTTGATTTCCTGAGAGACAGGATCTGGGGATTCCTATTTCTCTGGCAGAGGCCGTGCAGATTGGAATGGGGAAGGCTCACTGTCGCCAAGATCATATGATCTCGTGCATGGTTTTATACAAGAAGCATGATTTATTTCATGTACCTCCGAGACAGGGTTGAAGGGATCATGTGTCGTCCATCCACAGAAATATCTCTCTTCACAAATAATTAATGTCTTGTAAATTCACAACATTTGAAAACCATTATGTCAGGAATATTCTATTTAGTACTGGTAACAAGAAAGCATCTGACTTTTATCTTTATGACATTTAATTATCATTTGCTGCACCAAAATAATAGTTGAAATTTTCAATTAAACATGAACTTCAAACTTCACATGAATTTTCTTTTGTATGACTATGACTGTAATAAATACAGACTGCTTGACTAGACATTGATAATATATCTAAAATTGTAAACCGATCGCTCAAATCATTGATGTTAATATTGACCACTGTGTTGTCTTGTCCTGCATCAGTTATTGACAGACAACCATCCGTTTGCTGAAATATTGCCATGTGTGGCAACACAACATTCAAATCCCCAGGAGTTAGGTGAGGTGAGGTGAAATTGGGTTTAACGTCGTGCTTGAGAATATTTCGCTCATATGACGACGTGCATGCGTGTGTATGTGTATGTGCGGCTGCTTGTACTACCCCAGACTGAAGCTGGTTTTATAGTGCTACCCCACTGAGATACCATGCCGCAGTGAAGCATGAATACCCCACCCAGACACATTATACTGACTCCGAGCCGACCAGTCCTTGTTGTACCCATTAATGCCGAGCGCCAGGCAGGGACCAACAAGTACCATATTTTAACGTCTTTTGGTATGACACGGTCAGGGATCGAACCCGCAACCTTCCGTTCTCCGGGCGGGCGCTCTAACCACTACACCACGGAGGCGGTTCCCCAGGAGATGAAATAGACAGAGGGTATCCTCCCCAAACCCCAACCCTGGAGGTACTTCTCATAACCCTTACAGTTTATAGCAACCTGGGCCTAAATTTTCGAAGCTCTCTGAGCGCTAAGATAGTCGTAAGTTAATGTTAATGTATGGCACTTACGACTATCTTAGCGCTAAGAGAGCTTCGAAAATTTAGGCCCTGACTGTTACCTAGTTCATTAAATGATGAACCCAAAGAAGGGTTCACTGTGTCCTGAATAGATTATCCCTGATCCCTTTGTTCATTTGTTTTTTGTGCTGCGCCACACTCAGGAATTTTCCAGCTATATGATGGCGGGCAGTAGCTTTTCAAATCAGGACCAGGCAAACCAGTGATATACAGCATGATTCTACACAATTGGGATACGATGACATGTTTCAACCAAGTCATCAAACCACCCTGTTGGTTGTCATTAAATTTGTCTGTCACCCTGTAGGTGTACCTTTGGCATCGTGATTTGTAAAATAGAATTCAATGTATCTGGGTTAAAGTATCCCCAATGAAGTTAAATGTAAGCACAAAATTAAAGTTAAAAGTTGATAAGGTGTATGTCACAGGTTCAGGCTTCCTATTGTCCAAGACAAATATTCAGAAGACAGAGTTTTCTTAAAAAACTGTTTATTTGCCTGTGGTGGTGGTGGTGGTGGTGGTGGTGGAATTGGGTTTAACGTCGTGCTTGAGAATATTTCGCTCATATGACGACGTGCATGCGTGTGTATGTGTATGTGCGGCTGCTTGCTTTCTACAACATTGGAGATAATGGTATCGCTGTCCTTCCGATATTCCCCCCGAACGGAAGCTCTACCCATTTAGGGTACAATTAGTATGTTACAGATTTGTAGGGGATAGTCTTAAGACTTTTCTACTTTGACCAGGATTCTTCAAACTTGCAACAGTCGTTTGGGAAGATCAAGAGAGAAAGGGGTAGTGTGCGATTTATCTGGCGGACGTATATGGAGAAAGTTCGAAGAATGTTGCTGTATAAATACAATAATAGAAATACCGGTTATGTTTGAAAAGTACCCTCAATCTGAAAGCCAGTGAGATTATTGTGAAAGATCGCAATATGTATCATCATAAACGGGCCCAGATAAAAGTACATGTCATTCATCCCCACATTATATCCCTTTTATAGACACGGGACATCTTTGTTACAGATAGCGCAAACACTTTCTTCTATAGGTATCCGCCGGTTTCACGCTACATACATGCTTTCTGATTATTGAGAAAAGTAGCGACGCATGTTCTCCTCCATCACACATATAATTGTATAGATACCCAGTGATTAGGGATAGCACTGCAGCAACTTAATGAAATTTGCGACATACACTATCAGCTCCAGTCGTACTGCCATACCTAGCATTGTATTTATTACTCTCTTACATAAGGTGAAATATCACAGGGTTGTCATGGTAACGATAATTTGGCATACCATTTATTGTCTTATTCTTTTATCTGCGATCAGAATTTAAATCAGTTTTGACGTGAGCATGTTAAGAGAAAAGAAGCTGTAAAACGAATATTAATGTGATCGAACCTATAGGCCTTTGTAAAAACGAGTTTCAAGCCACCTACATAAAAAACCCTTCATGATAAATATCTGCTAATCCATGGCACGATTCCAACCATATCATAAGCATGTGTTTGTGAATCATAATGAAATAGTGATGTTACAAGGCGTACATGCCGCCTCAACAACACATGCAAACGCGCGAGAATTGCAATACGGGCCCCTAAACCACTGATGCTCCGTGACCTGGAGGCACATGTGATTGAGCGTATGTAGGGACGGGTAGAAGACAAAAGACAAAATGGATACTCGTGCTATTATACTTTTGAATTATAAGTAAACATTCGTTCTTATAAATGCATACTTTCCAGTTTCAACCAAATGTACATTTGAAGGAACTCTAGGTTAAGTTATTTGAATCATATTTACAATTAAAAGACCCAAACAATGGTCTGTTGTCAAAACATTTTGTTTTCCATAGCTTGTCCCAATCTGTATCCAGGGCCCATATAATAGTCTATTACTAGTATATGGCCTCTGCTGTATCATAGTCACAGAACGATATTATTTCCCCTTCCGCCCAGCCCTTACTGTAATGCTTACGCCCTAAATGAAGCATATCTAGATATTCCCAGGTTCAGCGTTTGTTAAATCTGCAGGAAAACTCACTGCAGGGTTCGGGTTACAGAGTAAACATACCAAACACCCATGGCTGGCAGGGACCAACATCTTCAGTAACTTTTACATCTGCCAACGCTTAATTCGCAAGTGGTGAGGCAATACGCTAATGAGGCTAAGGGTCCTGTACCATGTTTGTGAAATATCTATGATGCCTTATATGAAGTCTATAATCTAAGCAAGTCTAGCTATGTATGGCTTTAAGTCACTGCTTGAAGAAAGGCTCTTGAAGTTGCACTTAATGATAATGATAAGTGATTGTTAAATGTACATATGATGTTTTTGAAGGATAATCTCAGTTGACTCAGAGACTTTCCACGTGTTTTCCCCCACTCTTTCCACACCCATCCTTCAGTTTTTATGTTTGTGACATGATCTGCACACTGATAATTTAAAACAGGTATATAAATAATAACTGTTTGCAATCTTTTTCCAGTTTAGTTTTCCATTTATTTAGCAATTTTCAGTTTCTATTTTTTTCTGGAAATTTTGTACGGAGGTGCATTTAACAGTTTCACCCAATAACAGTAAAGCATACAGATAATACGTTTCGGTAGTTTGATAAAGTTATAAAGTTTACATTATATTCCATGATATTGGGATGCCAAAATGATAAACATTATTATATAATGTATAACAAATCAGACAGCTAAAAGCAAAAATTAAAAACGCATGAGCAACGTAAATGATGTCAGGTAGTAAGCTTTCAATAATTACAGAAACTGCTTAGTTATCTAACTTTGTGAACTAGCTGACGGTTCTCCGTGGCCAGCTCTTTCTCCGGACCTGTCCCCTATCGAGCACGCTTCTGATGAAATGGAGCAACGATTACGTCAAGCCCAGAATCAGCCATTTACGTTAGCTGAATTGAGACAAGCGTTGGTTCAGACATGGAACAACATTCCACAAACCTCCTTCAATTGCTTAGTGAAGCTAAGCGAATGAATGGCAACGTCTCTTCAAAGCTGGCATTTCGGTATCTAAGCCCTGGATTCATTCAACGATTTCTGATATTTTCAAATTAACTGCGAGTCATTGAGAGTATGTGAGAAATGCAATGTTGACACGTAAATAAAACAAAAACAACGTCAAACAAAATCGGACAACATCTCTGTGACTTTCGTATGTTGTAACTACCTGCAGT